TAGTGGGTTAAGCCGCTGCCTTCAGCTCAGGTCATGATCCCAGGGTCCTGGGATCGAGTCCCGCATCGGGCTCTCTGCTCAGCAGGGAGCCTGCTTCCCTTCCTCTCTCTCTGCCTGCCTCTCTGCCTACTTGTGATCTCTGTCTGTCAAATAAATAAATAAAATCTTTAAAAAAAAAAAAAAAGTGTGTGTATAGCTGCATCACTGAATCCATAGAAGAACAAACATAGCATTAAAAGAGTGCTATTTACTCTAGGTTTCTGGAACGTTCCAGAGAAGCACACAATTCCTAGATAGAAGTGCCTCAAAAATCCAGATGTACATTCTATCCAGTGGGTACTATTCTTTCTTAAAACTAGTCCAATATACACATGCGATAATTTGGGGGCTACGGGTCCTGCTTTAGAAAAGTTATATTCAACTCACTGTCTAGAGGTTTCAGTAGTGATAAAAATTCTATTAAAAAGAATTTTTTCTGGGAATTTCAATGGAAGCTTTCAGAATTTAAGCTTCTGTTATCATGGGTTTGTAATTCGTAGGGGGAAAAAACCCCAAAAAACATACCTGATTACTTCAAATTGAGAAAACAAAAAGCTTTCTGAGAATTCACCCTCTAGCCTCCAAGGCAGCCAACGGAGCGGGAAGTGAAGCACATACCTGCGTCGACACACAGTGAACGCAGTGCAGTGGGCACACGTGAGCAGGCACCAAGAGCAGCACTGCACGCACAGGCAACGGCAGGTGCTGGGCCTGCCCCGGCCTCCTTCAGTTCTGCAGCAGCCGCGGAGGGCTGCAGGCCACCATGGAGCGCTGGGCGGACAGGCCGCTGTCCAGCAGGACAGCACAGGGGAGTGCGACAGAGATATGTGTATAAATGGACTCCTCATGAGAGCTTCTGAAAGAACTCTGGACACACCTCTCAACCTCTCAGGGGTCAGAAACAGAATGAAAGACCCAAAGAGAAGATGAAAGATCTCACCAGTACATGTACAATCACCCACAGAATTCAAGGGGAGACTTAAGTTGAAAAAAGAAAACCAGCAGAAGCCATAGACCATAATAAAGGAATCCAATCCTGGTAGGTGGATTTAAATGGAAGGCAGTGAGGTGTTGCGTCTTCTCAAATTTACACAAGTAGGAAGCATGAAATACTGCAACTTATTGGAATTATAGTTATCAGCATCCAGATGTAAATTAAATAGTCTCCTTTCAAAAAGCCCTACTCTAAAAATGAAGGTTCTGGGGCGCTTGGGTAGCTCAGTTGGTTAAGTGTCTGACTCTTGATTTCAACTCAGGTCTTGATCTCAGGGTTGTGAGTTCAAGCCTCACACTGGGATCCAGGTTGGGCATGGAGCCTACTTAAAAAAATAAAAAGTAATAAAATAAAATAAAATAAAATGAAGCGTCTACGATCCTAATTTTCATGTTTATCTCTATAAAAATCTAGTACTCTAGAGTATAATCTTACACTTTTTTCCAGTTTTTTTTCTTGTGCTCTATAGCTCATTTTTACTTTTTATTTATTTTTTAAAAAAGATTTTATTTGTTTATTTGACAGACAGAGATCACGGGGGGGGGGAGGCCAAAATGCTGAGCAGAGAGCCCAATGCCAGGCTTGATCCCAGGACCCTGAGATCATGTCCTGAGCTGAATGAAGGCAGAGGCTTAACCCACTGAGCCACCCAGGTGTCCCTCATTTTTTTTTTTTTTAATAATCGTATACTCTTAGACACCATCTACTGGAGGAATTTCTGAAGGTCATATCATTACACTGACCATGAAAGGCTGTGAAAAGATATTCACATCAACCCTATCCTTAGCTTCAACAGTGCCTGGGACATAAACAACCCTTAGAACACGCTTTGACTACTTACTTGAATAGAGAAAAAACCACTGTCATCCATATTTCCAGAAGGCTGCTGTTTAATTTGGATAGGTAGTTGAGGCGGAGGTTGAGGGTGGGGAGAGAAGGATAAAAACTGTCATTAGTGTGCATATTTAAAATAACATCTTGTGCGTTCCCATTTACACAGTCAAGAGCACAATTATAATTAACAAGTCAGAGCCCCATAGTAAGAACGGCGCATCCTTTTCTAAACAGTACCCACATTAAAAAACAAAAAAACTAAAAAACAAAAACATGATTTAGTGGGTTTAAAATCAGTACCTGTAAAAACGTGCGATAGTCTTCACTAGTAACACCTCCTTCTGCCATTCTCATCCTCTCTTCTTCATCTAGCTGATGTGCAATTGAAGATAATTCCACAGGGCTAAAATATTCTCCTTGCAATAGATTATTCAAGCAATGTTGAGCACAAAGTGAGCCTTCTTGCTAATATTTCCAAAAGAAAAAATTCAAATGTGACTGGTTTAACAGATTTGTACAGTAGCTTCCTCTTAAAGAGGAATTTAATCATTAACTTAATGCAGCCAAATAGAACTGTTTGGCTTTAGATAAGTATGATTAACATAAATGCAGGAGTTTTCACTTGCTAACACTTATTTCATTATTTTACCACTAATAAAACTATAATTATTTAGCTATATGAACAAAAACTTGAGAATGATTTTTTTTTTAGATTTTTTTTTTTTAAATTTATTTGATACAGATCATAAGCAGACAGAGAGGCAGGCAGAGAGAGAGAGAGAGAGAGGGGGGAGAGCAGGCTCCATGCTGAGCAGAGAGCCCTATGTGGGGGATCAATCCCAGGAGATCATGACCTGAACAGAACGCAGAGGCTTAACCCACTGAGCCACCCAGGTGCCCCTTAAGAATGATTTATATTAAACAAATATCACTCTCTATCAGATATGTCCAATTTCATACTTTACTAGAAACTACTCTATAAAAAACATTAGCACCTCTCATTTTCAGTACCTAAAATACATACATCTTCGGAGGCTCCAACGCAAATTAAAAATGCTGAAAGGGAATTTTAATCCCTAGAACATTTGTATTCTTTTATCAAGACATTTTACCCAATCTAAATGCTTATTCAAGGAGGGGTGCCTGGGTGGTTCAGTCATTAAGCATCCGCCTTCGGCTCAGGTCATGATCCAGCATCTGACTCCCTGCTTAGCTGGAAGCCAGCTTCTTCCTCTCCCACTCCCCCAGCTTGTGTTCCCTCTCTCGCTATGTCTCTGTCTGTCAAATAAATAAATAAAATCTTAAAAAAAAAAATGCTTATTCAAGGAATTTGAAATCAGTGAACAAAAGAATTTCAAGAATTGATACAGGTAAGAAAGATCCCATTTGATGTTAATGAAGACTGTAGCTAAGAGAGCCAAGGTTCTCTTTGGGGAACTCTGCATAAAACGTGTATATAGTACAGTACAATGGGCAAAACTTCCAAAAACCACCCCTGGAGCTCATTTCCAGACAAGCCAGCAAGGAGAGCTGCATCCACGAAACCACAGGATCTTCGAGATCACCACCTTCCTATGGTGCGGGGTGGAGGGAGTAACTTCCCGCGGGCCCAGGGTCTTCGGGTGCTGGGCGGCCGGCTCTCACACCGCTGGCTCCCCAAATCTAAATCCAAGCCGCCTGGCACTGTGTGGTCTGCCTATCACCCTGCTCCCCACAACAAGGCCACTCTCCCATGCTTGCCTTGTAAGAAGGGAGACAGGCTGGTGAGTGAGATCCCTTCCTGTGAACACAGATCCCTCTGCGGGATGATGGAAGAAGATGACAACACTTTTCTTTTCCTGCTAACCCTGCCCTCTAGTTCTTTTTCCCCAGTAAAGTCTTCCCCAGCCTGTCTTACCTTGTGCAATTTGTTCTGAGCTACATTACTCAAGAGATGGTGACCCCAGAAAGCAACACCTTGCAAGATACATATTTTTCCTAATGAATTAATTTTCTAGGAACAAGATTCAGCTTCTGAAAATGATACAGGGTATATGTATACAACGGAACAGGATGGGAGCATTGAGACCATCTGAGTGTGAGATAGGGGACTGACATAAACTCATCTTCAAATTCTAGCACAGAATAGGTACTTCACCTGAAGGTGAAGACACAATCTTTCCCTCAAGTCACAGCTACATAGTGAGAGAGAACTTATCTTGACCTTGTTTCCCTCCTACTGTATTCCTACTGCCAAAAAGCAAGTCCTTCTGAAAAATAAAATGTGAATTGAAGGGATACACAGACATCCTACTAATAATATTCTACTGTACTGAAAGATGGGCAAGACAAAGAAGTATTCACAAGAAGATAGCCGAACAGCTAAAAAACACAAAAAGATGTTCCACTTCATTAACCATCAGGGAATGACATAGTAAAACCACAACGTTACTACTACAGACTCCCCAAAATGCCTAAAATGTTGGAGATCAGAAACATTAAAACTACTGTATACCGCTGGTGGACATTAAATTGCACACCCACTCGGGCAAACTATTTGGAGTATCTACTAAAGCTTAACATATACCAACCCTACGATCTAGCAATTCCACAACTACGTGCATAATGCCAACATTAGAAATGTAAACATACATTTATCAAAAGACATCTATAAAAGAGCCACTATTCGTAACGTTCCCAACCCAAACCACCCAGATGCCATCCCAGTAGAAGAGGTTAACTGTGTTATATTCACAAGGGAATACTGTATGACAATGACAATGAATTAACTACAGCCACCTGCAACAGTATGGATCAATCAATGTTAAAGAAGACAGATTCAAGGGGCACCGGGGTAGCTCAGTTGGTTAAGCATCCAACTTTTTTTTTTTTTTAAGATTTTATTTATTTATTTGACAGACAGAGATCACAAGTAGGCAGAGAGGCAGGCAGAGAGAGAGGAGGAAACAGGCTCTCCGCGGAGCAGAGAGCCCGATGTGGGGCTTGATCCCAGGACCCTGAGACCATGACCTGAGCCGAAGGCAGAGGCTTAACCCACTGAGCCACCCAGGCGCCCCAGCATCCGACTTTTAACTTCAGCTCAGGTCATGATCTCAGGGTCATGGGATTGAGTCCTGCATCGGGCTCCGCTCTCAGCACAGTGTGCTTGAGATTCTCTCTCCTACTCCCTCTGCCCCTCCCCGTGCTCAAACTTTCTAAATAAAATCTTAAAAAAAAAAAAAACAAGAAGACAGACTCAAAAGAACACACACTATATGATTCTATTTACAAAGCTCAAAAACAGGCAAAACTCATCTATGACATTAGAATTCAGCACCCTTGCAGGGGTGAAGGTGGGGCAGAGGGAGAGTATCTGGAAGATGGCCTAAGGGGAGCTTATAGAATGCAGATAAATGTTCTGTTACCCAATCTAAGAATTATTTACATTTATGTGTTCACTTGGTGAGACCTCACTGAGCTGTACACTGATGATCTGTGTGCCCCTAACCTGTTTTTGTTACACTTAAATTCAAGTAACAACAAAAAGACCTCTGCTAAGATACAGCTATTTTCACATATCAAGAGCTCCCTACTACGGTGACCAGACACTGGATTTTCTGGGAACAGTTCTAATGCAAATTTTCTGTCCAGCTGACAGGCTACATGCCTCAGCTTGGTACTCTCAAACTACAGTCATCACATTGAATACATACATTGAAATTGTGAATCCAACTATTAGTTTAAAAACTCTCTCTATAAAAAACTAAAGAAAGTCTCTATAAAAAAGCCTTGAAATAAAAAAAAGTAAGCATTTAATATCAAACCTTGTCTAAGTAAAACTGTACTGCTGTAGGAAACATCAAGTTCTGTACTTCTAATATGATTTAATGGAAGCAAAGAACTGTTCTGTACCAATTTAAAATCATTTTTTAAAGTCACAAGATGAATCAAATTCTGTATAAACCAAAAAAAATTACACAATGGCCCCACCTAAGATTACGCATCCCTGCGCCCAACTTATCCCCACACACCTCTTTCTCATGGAACTTCAACCAAAGTTAGATAGAAGTTTATCTGTGCCATAGGCAAAATTCAGTAGTACTGAAATTCCATGATTTCAGGCCCAGACTTATTGTGCTGGGATCAGAGGATGAACAAATTAAGATATTTTATTTTACTTTTAAAATTTTATTTATTTATTTGATGGGGCGCCTGGGTGGCTCAGTGGGTTAAGCCTCTGCCTTCAGCTCAGGTCATGATCTCAGGATCCTGGGATTGAGCCCCGCATCGGGCTCTCTGCTCAGCAGGGAGCCTGCTTCCACCCTCTCTCTCTGCCTGCCTCTCTGCCTACTTGTGATCTCTATCTGTCAAATAAATAAATAAAATCTTAAAAAAAAGATTTTATTTATTTATTTGAGAGAGAGAGAGAGAGAAAGCACAGGGAGAGGAAGAGGGAAAAGAAGACTCCCCACTGAACAAGGAGACCCATGCAGGGCTCAATCCCAGGACCCTGAGATCAGGACCTGAGCTGAAGGCAGATGCTTAACCCACTGAGGCCCCTAGATGTCCCTATCAAGGTGTTTTATAAAACTATAGTGAGGCGCCTGGGTGGCTCAGTGGGTTAAAACCTCTGCCTTCGGCTCAGGTCATAATCCCAGGGTCCTGGGATTGAGCCCCACATCGGGCTCTCTGCTCAGCAGGAAGCCTGCTTCCCCCTCTCTGTTTGCCTCTCTGCCTACTTGTGATCTCTGTCAAATAAATAAATAAAATCTTAAAAAAAAAAAAAACCCAAAACCATAAATAGTAACTGGAACCACATCACTCCCTTACTGTCCCCAAAGTCTTCAGGACCAACCTGCCACTAGTTCAAATTCCCAGAGATATTACTGTTTACAACAGATTACAATAGAAACCAGGCATAAACCTAAGAGTGTGTGCTCAGAAATGGCCTAACCTAGAGGGCCACGCCATCAACCTAGCAGATCTTCATCCCATCTCAGGGATGATAAGGTCTCACTCCCTATTATGAGGTTCAGCAAACACATGCATCTGAATAATAACAACAGCCAGTATGTCTATACTGCTGGCTAGGAAGCCTTCCAAGTGCTTATAACCAAGGTGGACACTTTACTATCCTCGCACCACAGAGGAGGAAACTGGGGCAGAGAGACATAACAAGTGACTTGCCCAAGATCGTATGGGTAGTAAATGGCAGAGGTGGGATTCAAACGCAGGCAGAAGTTTCATGTCTATGATTTTATTACTTCCTCAAACCACTCATTTGGAAATTGGTTATTCCCAAACCCAAACTATCCTAAATACAATTATGAACCAACAAGCACCGAAGGGCAAAATGAATATCATAGTCAAAGCTCAGCCTCTTTTAAGTATTTTCAAATACAATCCCCAAAACTTTGATTATCATTCTCAGTTTTCATTACATTAAAAGTACCAATTGAGATGGCACAGTGACTGCACTAAGAGCAGGCAGCAACAGAAGTAGTAACAAAAATGACAGCAGACACCAGAACCAAAACACCCAGTGGTTAGTGGCCATTTAGAATTAGGATTTAAGCTAGGGGTTGGCAAACTCTAGCCTATAGATAAATACAACCTGCTCCAGTAGCTAAGAATGGTTTTTACGATTTTATTTAAAAAATTTTTTTAAAGATGTTTTTACTTATTTTAGAGAGAGGGAGCGTGCATCTAAGGAGGGAGGAGGAGGGGGGAGAGGGGAAAGAATCTGAAGCAGACTCTGTGCTCAGTACGGAGCCCCACACGGGCCTGGACCACATAACCCCTGAGATCATGACCTGAGCTAAAACCAAGAACCAGCTATGCAACTGACCGAGCTACCCAGGTGCGCCAGGTTTTATGATCTTAGATGGCTGGGTAACACACCCATACACACATCAAACAAGGATATGTGAGATACCATAGATAGCCTAGAAAGCCTAAAATATCTAAAAAGAAATTATTTACTTTAGATAAATAGCACCACACACATCTTAGAAGCTCAAGAAATTCTCGATTCAGTCAAATATTTATTGAACAATTACTATGTGCCAGGCACTGTCTTAGGCACTGGGAACAAATCACCAAGCAACTGTTAAGCTTAGATTCTATCTTTATAAAGGACACTCAAAATGGTAACTCTGAAAATGGGGAAACCAACATCCCACAGAAAGCAATTGCAAGGCCTGTTGTAGGCAGGTATCTCTACATACATAGCTTCATTAGAGTCAAAGCTGGTTCTCTGACTCTAGCAAAGGTTAAATGTGTGTGGCATAGGGGAAGGGAGTGTGCTAGAAAATGGCATATTAAGCTAAAACATTCCCAGAAAGGGCTGTGTACAAGATTAACAATGGGCCTTATGGTTACAGGTGCTTTCCATTCTTGAAATATGCCCCCCAAACCTTACCAGCCTCATCTATTAAGTACATTTAAGTTGATGACCAAGATAAATTGTACGTTTTAAGTATCTTTAAGCCTACACAGATGCTTACTGTGACTTTTTTTTTAAGATTTTATTTATTTATTTGTCAAAAAGGGATTGCACAAGCAGGAGGAGTGGCAGGCAGAATGAGAAGCAGGATCCCGGCTGAACAAGGAGCCTGATGCAGGACTGGATCCCAGGACCCGAGGATCATGACTCCAGCCAAAGGCAGAGGCTCAACAGACTGAGCCACCCAGGCATCCCTGGATAGTGAGTTCTTTCAGGAAACGACACCTTTATGAGGGTAGTACCCAGCTTCTTCTGATCTGTTGGTTCAGTTGTTACCTTCACTGAAATCTATCCAAATAGCGCCCCATACCCACCAATCAGTATTTGTAAAAACATATTATATGAATCTCAAGAGGTTGTGTGGAAATGTTTAAAGTCTTCCATTTGAGACATCTGGTCCTACACTAAACTTCTGAAAATCGATTAAAAAAATATGTATATGTAGGGTTCTCATCACCCAATCTCCTTAAGCAACTAAATTTCTCTTGTGCAAGATTCATAAATCATGTCAATTAAGTCAAAAGATTAGTGATAACTATACCACTGAGCCCTTACCCACACATAAAAACTGGTCTACTCCAGTGTTAAAATGTGCTAAAATGTTTTCTACAAAGAAAAGCATTCTACTTAACCACTCGTTTAGATTTATTCTGTGCTTCTTTCATCTTTGATGGCTCTGAATTGTGTGACTTTTTAAATGGATAAATGAAAGTTTACAAGTACTTAACAAAACTCCTTTGCTCTTACTACATAATAACCTCACTAGCAACCCCTTCCAAACATGAAACTATTATGAAACAACATATCATGTGCCAAAGTTGTCCTGAGGAAGGTTTCACTCACACCCAAATAGCTTGTTTACTGTATGTGAGAAAAGACGAGTTTCTCCACATGCCACAAACAGCATCTTCAAGTGCGTGGTCATACAAGAATAAAACAAAAACACTAGGCGGACCACAACACAATTATTCCAGTCCACTCCTAATACCTAATAAGAGAGCTGGCCTCCTGATTCGGAAAGATGCAACTACCAAAAGAAACGAAACCTAAACATCGCGTAACAAAAACTCTTGTGACGACTTCCCTATTTAGGGGCGCGGAGGATTTCCTACCTCACTTCCCTAAGTGTCAGCCCCTACAGGGGACAAGCCAAGGACCCCGCCCTCGGGAGGCTCCTGGACCTAGTGCAGGCGAACAAGAACACAACCCCAGAGATCTAAGTGTATGGGAGGTTCCAACAAAGAATTGAGGAGCCCAGAGAAGGAAAAGTTAATTCTGCCAGGAGCAGGACTGGAGGAGTGGGGTGGAGTTGGCAAGGATCGAGGGACTTGTCGAAGAGGTGAACAGCTAGAAACCTAGGAGAGTGAAGGAGAAGGGACTGGAGAACGAATCCCACGGAAAGTGGAGGGGAAGCGCAGAAGCTAACCCATTCGGTGCCACCCCCCTCCCGTGCCCCATGGCGCCCCCGGCCCTGCTTCATTCCCTCGCAGCTCCCCGGCGCTCCCTGCCCGGGACTCCACCGGCACCCGCCTCTGGGGCACAGGGTGCGGTGGGGGCGTCGGTGAAGCTCCCCGCCCTATGAAGCTCCTCCGCCAGGCGAGACTGGGACGGGGGCGACGGGGGCCCCCGCCAGCGCTCCGAGAGGAGGAGGTACCGCGCCCCACCGCAGCCACCGCACCGCAGACAGCTCCCCACCGAACGCGTACACTCACTTTCTCGTGGAAGATGGACTCCATGTTTATTTGTCTGGAGCCAACGGCCCCCGCACTGAACCACCCCCCTCCAGCCCCGCCCCTCGGCCCCACCCCTCCTCCCACCCCGCCCCGCCCCGCCTCGAGCCGCCCCCGCCCACGTGCCTTGCACAGACCAATCATCCCCGAGGATATGAATCACGTGGAACGAAGAGCAAGTGAACGCCGGGGCGGTAAATGCAAGCGCACGTGACCTTTGTAGCGCGTCCTCCCATATCCCTCTATCGGGCCGGCTGGGGGTGTTGCAGCGCCACCTACGGTTTGGAGGAATTTCCCTGCTTCCCACCCATTGCTATGGATTTTTAGGCTATTAAGGGGTCTGGGTGAGGAACACTTGGGTTCTATGTTCTTTTATGTTTTCCACTTTGTACTTTCTGCTTGTATCTGCGTTAAATTATTTAATATCTTTCTCCTCCTCCCCCACTGAAAGCCTGATTAAGCAAAAGACATCATTGCATTCCCCAACACTAGCGCTTGTGTAAAAATACAATATTTATAGAGAGCTTACTGTAAGGTAGGCATTCTAACTACTTTGCATATATTAACGAATTTAATACAACAACCTTTGACATAGGTGTTGTTATGATCCCTGTTTTACACGAGGGCACTGATGCACAGGGAGGTTAAGAAAAGAAGGGACTCCAAGGTCAGCTAGTGAGTTGCCCTTGCTGGGGTCCAAATCCAGACACCTTGTTACTAAGTGTCTGCGTTCTGACCCTGAAAAGGTATCATGAATTGGGGGAACTGAAAGTTCAGTGAAGTGGAGGAAGGGGTTTGATGAAGCTGAAGGAGAAGGGAAATAGTAGATTTTGCACCTTGAAATTAGATTAAAGAAGTTATGTTTTTAAAGACAGTTGGGGAGTTATATAAAATTTTTAACGAAGAGATGCTCAGATTTGCATTTTATAAAGATCACTCTAGCTGCAGAAAAGAGCTGATGCTGTGGAAGGAATCTTGGGAGAGATGGTGGTGTTTGGGCTAGAGTAATGACGTGCAGTGGAGAGGAAACCATTTTGAGAGATGATTAGGAAGTGGGGAGACTGAACAGAACTTGGTGAGAGTGGAGAGTGAAGGACACAGATATGTTAGAGATGATGTCTGGGTTTCTGCCCTAGGCAGCCACTGTGGCAGGAATAGTATTCAGTGAGATGGGAATACTGGAGGAAGGGGCAAGGTTTGGGGGTATACCTATGATCTGTAAGACAAATAATGAGTGGAGGTTATCTATCTTTCTTTCTATATAAATGGTCTGGATTCAGGGGCTTGGTTTTGCTGTAGAATGGGGAGTTATTCACAGGAGTGAATAAAATCATCTAGGGGAAAAGGAAGAGATTAAAAAGAGGATTTAGAGTAGAACCCTGAGGGTAGAGAAGGAATAGCCAAGGAGAAGGGAGGAAAAGCAGGAGACTGTGACATTACCAAAGCCCCAAGAAAGGAATGTTTCAAGAATCAGTGTCAGTTGCTGCTAAGGGGTCCAGCAACATAAGGACTTAGAAGAGTCCACTAAATTGTTGCTATGGAGACCACTGGGGACATCAGTGAGTGTAGGCTCAGAGGAACAGAATGGGCAGTGGGAGGTAAGGAAATAGAGTACTAGTGAGGACCAGGTGCTCAAGGTTACCTAGTTACCCTTTACTGAATGCTCCTGGGTGCACAGTCCACATTTCCTTATTGGGGGAACAGTAGATGCATGTTCTTAAGGAACTGTGGCCTAACTGGGGAAACAAATCAGGGTCTCAAGAAGAGAAAAAATATGCAAAACATTTTTTCCTCATTTATTATTTTTATTATTTAATTTTTAAAAGATCTTATTTAACAGAAAGACCGCATGCACAAGCAGGGGGAGCAGCAGACAGAGGAAGCAAGTTCCCCCCCTGAACAAGGAGCCAGATGCTAGATTCAATTCCAGGACCCTGGGATCATGACCCAAGCCAAAGGCAGATGCCTAATTAATGGAGCCACCCAGGTGTCCCTCCTGATTTATTTTTAAAGAAAGTGAGTGTGTACAGAAACACATATCTTTTTGTTGTTGTTGTTGATATACATTACAAATCTGTGGAAGAATATTCAAGAAATCCTGAGGTTATGCATGTGTTTGAGATGGGAAGAGAACTAGGCAATAGGAGACAGGGGTGGGAACGAGACTTTTCACAGTATACAGTTTTATTCTTAATTTTTCAAATATTTAATGTATTAGATTCTCAGAAAAAAAAATTGAATTCATTTGCTACGGCTGCTGCACCAAATCATCACAAACTTGGTGGCTAAAAACAGAAATTTATTCTCTCACTGTTCTTGCGGCCACAAGTCTGAAACCAAGGTGTTAGCAGGGTCATGCTCCATGGTGACAGGAAGAATTCTTTCCTCACTTCTTCCAACTTCCAGCGGTGCCTGGCATTAGCTGGCTTGTGGTTGCAGAACTCCAACCTTGGCTTTGGTTTTCATGTGGCCTTTTTCCTTTTGTGTCTCTGTCCTCTCCTCTTATAAGTACCAATGATTGGATTTAGATCCTACCCTAATCCAGGGTGATTTCATACTGAGATCTTTAATTATACTGTCAAAGACCCTATTAGTGATAATTAGGGACTATCATTTTATTGTAATTTTACTTCTCCTAAATTCAATATTACCTAAAACAAAATGTTTTCTGAGAAGAGGTAGTTGAATACAACAGTAACATGTATGCATACATGGAACCACCACAGGCAAGAAAATGAACAACATATACTCCGAAGTTTCCTTGTGCCCCCTTGTAATTCTTTTAAGATTTTTAAAAAATTTATTATTTATTGAGAGTGAGTGAGCACGAGCAGGGTGAGAGGCAGAGGGAGAAGCAGACTCCCCACTGAGCAGGGAGCCCCATGTGGGGCTCAATCCCAAGACTCTGGGATCATGATGGCCTAAGCTGAAGGTAGCTGATCAACCAACTGAGCCACCCAGGTGTCCTCCCCCTTGTAATTCTTACTTCTAACCCTTTTCTAGACCATGTTCCTCCACGCAACCACTGGTCTGCTTTGTTACTATAGTTTACAGTGTCAACATTATTTATATAAATGGAACCATAAAGTGTGTACTTTCTGTCTGGCCTCTTTCATCCAGTATAATTAATTTGAAATTCATCAATGTCATAGCAATAGATATTCCTTTTTTAATGCTGAGTAATATTCCATTATAAGGATTTAACAGTTCAGCTATTTGATGTACATTTGGGCTAGCTCTAATTTTTGGCTATTACAAATGAAGCTGCTATGAACATTCATGTAAGCCTTTGTGTGAACATACACCTTCCTTTATCTTGGATGAATACCTCAGAGTGGGATGGCTGGGTCATAGGGGAGGTGTTATTTTCATTTGAAACTGCTAAACTGATTCCCAAAGGGGTACAACTCCTGGCAGCTACATTTTACATTCCTGACAGCACTGTGAGGTCCACTTACTCTGCACCCTAGCCAATACCAGAAATAGCATGTCTTTTGATTTTAACTATTCTATTAGGTGTGTGCTGGTATCTCATTGTGGCTTAAATTTGCATTTCCCTAATTACTATTGATGTTAGGAATCTTTTCATATGCTTTAGTTACCATCCTATCTTTTTCTGCAAAGTGTCTCTTAAAATCTTTTGCTCATGAGTACCTGGGTGGCTCAGTTGGTTAACCTTAGGCTTAGGTCATGATCCCTGGGTCCTGGGATCAGGGCTGCCCCACATTGGGAGAGCAGGGAGCCTGCTTCTCTGTCTGCCACTGCCTCTACTTGTGTTCTCTCTCTCGAATAAATAAAATCTATTAAAAAAAATTCTTTTCCTCATTTAAAAAAATTGGACTGGGCGCCCAGTTGGCTGAACACTTGACTCTTAAACTCAGGGTTGAGTTTGAGCCCCATGTTGGGTGTAGAGATTAAGTAAAGGAGTAATTTTTAAAAACTGGGTTGTCTTTTTTTTTAAGATTTTATTTATTTATTTGACAGATCACAAGTAGGCAGAGAGAGAGAGCCTGATGCGGGGCTCTATCCCAGGACCCTGAGACCATGACCTGAGCCGAAGGCAGAGGCTTTAACCCACTGAGCCACCCAGGTGCCCATGGGTTGTCTTATTAAGCTATAAGGATTCTTTACATATTCTAGATATAAGTTCTTTGCTATATATTACATTTTGCAAATACTTTCTCCCAGTTTATGGCTGCATTTTCATTTTCATAAGTGTCTTTTGAAGAGCAAAAAATTTTAAAACTAGTTCATGCTTTATGTGTTGCATTTAAGAGATCTTTGCCAAACTGAAGGTCACTAAAATTTTCTGCTAGTATCATCCTTCTAAAGCACACAGCTCAAAAAAAAAAAAAAAACATTCTGAAAAATATCTGAGGAAAAAATTGGCTATATGATTTAATAGTACTATCGTTTAAAATGAGGAAAAGAAAATGAAACACTGTAAATTTAATATAAATATCCTCAAATACTCAATAATGATTTATTTTTAAGCTAAGTGTGCGTATTACTTAAAACGTGGACTGCTATAGCAAAGAAAGACTCACACTTCAAATTAAATAATGAATGTTTTTATTTCTCTCCTAATTTTTAAAATGTGAACATTCTGTAATTCAGTCACAACCTTTACTTCCAGGTGACTTCTTCATTGGGTCTCAATTCCCTGTGTGGAAATTAAAAAGGAAGGAAAGGAAAAAGTATAAATTAAATTTTTATGGGGGGGGTAAAAGAGTCAAAGGAGTAAGAATTCAATATTTTATATTCTATTAAATTGACCCATTAAAACTTTTATATAGACTCAACATACTCATTCTAGTCTCTCATGATTTTGGAACTTTTACCATCCCTTCAATTTCATTTTTCCCCATTAAGGAACTGCAATTTCTTAGGCTGTATGAAAGCTATTATCCTCTCAATGAGTTCATCTGAGGTTTTCTAAACCTTTTCTAATTCATTTTCTCTTTCTGGAAAACCTTAACTGTAAACCTCCTCTTCACATCGACTGTGAATGTTGCTCAAGCCTCGGTTCCTCGAGCTTCTTCCCACTTAGCTGCATACCCAGTGGCAGACATGTTCACTCACTCTGCTGCCAAAAGAGCCGTCTCCAGAGACACAGCGTGGTACCAGGAGCTGCCAGCTGCCTTCTGATCACTCAGCCACCACACCTAAAGCTCTCCAGCAGTATTGCTGGGAACATGGCACCAAGCCGCTATTAGTACCATAGATTTCAGCTACATTCTGGCTTAAGTAAGATAATATATGAAAGCTTTATTAAAGGCTTTGGTGAGCTGGTTTATAACATTGTTTCTAGATTACAGTGCATCCTGAATGCCAAAAAAAAAATTTTTCAAACATTTGAAATAGCCTGTTCATAAACTGAAGACTTGCTGGCCATCCAAAGGTAATCATACAGTTTTGTAAAAGGATTAAACAGTAACTAATGCTATAAAATAATGTAACGTTAATATTACTTCCGGGGGCGGGGGAGAGACAACTCACCCCTTCTATTTATTTTTGGCATATCTGATATTAAAAAATTATTTCCAAGAGCTCATTAATTGTTCATTTAAAAGATGCGTACAAACTAACCTTTTAAACAACAAACTCTTGTTCCGGAAGGCGGTCAGCGTTTCATCATTCCTTCTGTCTAGATAACATCCAAATACAAACCCCACAGGCACAAGTATATGTACCCAGTGGTCACGAACAATCTGAATTATATTCATCCTGAGTGCTAGGGGGAAAAAAATTATCAGAAATATAACTGCCTTTGTAATATCTTGAAAAACTGCGTCTGAAACAGAAAGATAGCCCTGAATATAGGAGATCGATATTAAAACATAGTAAGCCTCTTCAAATTTGCTTGGGATCAGGATGTAGTACACAACTTAAAATCTACTTGATGACAATTATACAGGTGACAATGATTTGTATAAAAATTGCACTGCATTAAAAATCAATTTATTAACTTTTTTCCTAGCTCTACTAGTGAACTGATATGGTACAGTGCAGAGAAATGGAGAATATAAAAAAAATTCTACCTGTAAAAGTTGGGTATTTGCACCCTCCTACAATTAATTTAAAGCTTTTACACATGTGTAAAATATTTTTAGAATGTCTTACGATGCTAAAACAAATATAACTACACTATTATGCCAAAAGCAGAATTCTTTAGTTAAGCTATCATTACTGAAAACTAATTTCTCAATTAGCAGTAATTGTGACTCAGATAAACCCCATTAGCTACAATACTGCTAGTGCACAAAGCTGAAAACTAATTTTTGAAAGGAAATGAAATTTTAAAAAACTTCACTCAATGACATTATGGTAGATTTCAGTATCAATTCGAAGATTTAACAAATAAGGACAGAAGGGAATTTACTTTTATAGAATGACTACTAGGTACCAGAGCCATCATATCATCTTATATATAACATGAAATAACTATTATTATCCTCATTTTATAGACTAGAAAACAGCTTCACCTAAACAGGTATTAAATACAGAGCTGAAATTCAAGCTTAGGTTTGCTCCAAAGCTCTTTTTCTATTAGATCTCAATACCTCTCTAAAAGACCTCTTCTTGAATTAAAATTTATGGTACTTAGGGGCTTTTAAGTTCTAAGAGTTTCTGAAAGGTACAAGAGGAAGAATAGAACTAGAAGTCACCATATGGAAAATAAATTTGCCTTAATTAAAAAAAAAAGTTTCTGCAAAAATTTGTACCTAAAGATGAAATCAAAATACATCTGCCTATGCATTAATCTAAGACGAATTCATCATATACAATGGCTGAGAAGGTGTATGACAACATGGTGAGAGAATACAGGCCTGCCAACAAAAGTGCTCAGCACTCAACCGTGCTAGGGTTAGGGAGACTGGATTCCTGCCTCTCCTAAGACACTGGTTCTCACACTTACACATTCCAAATCTGTATTTCTCAAACTTCATCACTATCTAAAGACACCGGGTTGGAAAATGGCCATAAAGTTAAAAGTTGCACAATTACCCCATACTCTATTGATAAAGCGTATTACACACAGCAGGAAAATTATGTAAAGTTAACAAGTTATTTAAAATATAGAATTTACAGTTTAGTCATTAAAGTTTTAGTCTACCTCCTATAGCTGGAATTTTCAAACCTAAGTGCACATCAAAATCGTCTGGGGAGCCTTTATCAAAATAAGGACTTATTTTGGGGTGGGGGAGACTGGGTGGCTCAGTCAGTTAAGCTCTTGGTTTCAGCTCCGGTCGTGATCTCATGTGTTGCGGGATTGGGTCCCGGTTTGGGCTCCCCACTCAGCAGTCAGTCTGTATCAAGATTCTCTCCCTCTGCCACCACACGCCCAACCCCCTGCTGTGATCCAGCGCTCTAGTAAATAAATCTTTAAAACAAACAAAATAGGTACTTTTGGTCCTCCTTCCTTGTGGGGCTGGAAAAATCTAGTTGAAAGAATTTGTTATCTGATTTGATGCAAACAGTTCTTGGGCAAACTTATTTCCTAGAAGATGGTGGCTCTCTCAGCACTATGCCTTAAGTAACATTATTTGCATTTAGATACTGAAGCTCTCTTCGTGAATCTGACCAGGTGCCCGCCAGATTAGCCATTTAACTTGTTTAACAAATTTGAGCCAGTCAAGGATAAGAATAACAAAACATGCCTTAATCAACTAATATAACTTTGAAAGCACAAAACTGCAAAATAGTAGACAGTAGTGGTCTCTGTAGAACTCAAGCGATCATGTATTCAGTCACCTGTCCTCCTAAGTTCCTCAAATTTCTTAATAGGGGTGTTGTGGGGGTCAAGCCTAACCCTCAGCACAGGTGAGTCAGATACTGTATGTACTTTAACCAATGACAAAAGTGCTTGTTGACTTAGCCCAAGACTGTACTAAATAAGCCCATGGCCACCTGTGGGTATTAAGCCATTATTATTGTTGGCATTCTTCCAACAGGGCAAGTAGCTACTTTTGTCTGGCTCTACTCTGAGAATCTAAGAGGGGAGACAAACCCCGGAGACTGGCTGCACATAAGCTCTTATATACACTCTAGAGGTGAAGACTGATAAAAGGATTCTGTGTATTCAAAATCCGGAGTTGGGTTCAGCTACCATGATTCCATCGCTAACAGGTAAATGACAAATCTTAGTCCCAGAGGCATTTCGTATTACATTTGTATAATCTAACGGACTTTGGGAGCCGTGGCATTTAACATAATTTGTCCTCTGTATTTCACTGAGTGAATGACTAGGGAGGACAAATATTTATGGACCTAAGAAGTGAGCTAGAATGATTTCTTGGAGAATGGACAGGAGGGAGAGTATAGACAGGCTCTGGTCATGAGCCCAAGACCATAGGGGACTTTATTTGTTAGGCAAAGATCAGTGAGGTCCTCGGACAAGCTCCAATGAAATAAGCCCTGAAGTGTGGATGAACAGTGACATCCACATGGGTGCCCATGAGGCCACTGTACATATTAGTGTTTTTTTTTGAGGGGGCAGGGAGCAAAGGGGGAGAGTGAGGCTCTTAAGCAGGCTCCATGCTCAGCAAACATGGGGCACCAGCGTATGCCCCTGAGATCATGACCTGAGCCATAATCAAGACTCAGATGCTTAATCAACTGGGCCACCTAGGTGCTCCAGTAGTGTCTGCTTTATAAGACTCATGAAAAATCCTTTTACATCACAACTGGGACTTGCTATGGTATTCCTAATTAAAACTAATTAGTTTTTGTCTTATGGACTCAAGAAATCACATAACTGATCACCCATCCTTTGTTACCAATGTTTAAAATGTTTTGCCATAGCTCTAGAAAGAGCTCTTATAGCACTATCAGGTACAGTTCTTACTGCTTTTCATAATCGCTAACTCACGTAATCTTCCCAATTCTATACCATGTATTCACTAATGTCCCCAATTTAGTAGGCATATTTTTTTCAGATGAGGAAATCCAGGGCAATGGACTTGCCTAAGGTCACAGATGCAGTTAAGTAGCACAGTCAGTATTAACATTCAGGCAGTCTGGCTTCTTGGTTCAAGCTATTTGTGTTTTATTGATTGCTAGAGTAACTACCGAGGTGAACATTTAGACTGACCTCACTCAGTGTTATCTTATTTTTCCTAACATTACTTTTTTTTAAGGTTTTATCCACTTATTTGACAGATCACAAGTAGGCAGAGAGGGGGAAGCAGGCTCCCCGCTGAGCAGAGAGCCCGATGTGGGGCTCGATCCCAGGACACTGAGACCATGACCTGAGCCGAAGGCAGAGGCTTAACCCACTGAGCCACCCAGGCGCCCCCTAACATTACTTTTTCTTCAACCAATTTTTCCCGCCTAACTAAAAAAAAATAAAAAGAAAAAGAAAAATGTATCTGGAGTGTATTTTTATAAGTCAATTCATGTTGTAAAACGTAGATGAACAGATATTTCAAAAATTAAGTCCTAATCTCTAATTGGTCCCCACAGCATTTTAGATCGACTCTTTTTGAACAATACATACAATCTATGAAATGCAGTGCTGGATGCACGGAGAAACTGAACTCCTTGAGGTCTGGAACCGTGTCTTAACCTAGTACAAATTAAACATTATGTTTTTAAAAAGTGATTATTGTGTGTGGAATGGTCGGCTCAAGAAGACTTGCGATTTGGAAGAGACTGAGGTTAGTTTCCAATCCTGAGCAACCAGGGGACAGAACGCTGAAAACTTCGACCCATTTGTGATGCTCCCGCCTTCCCTCCAGCCTAGGGACGTGATCCCGGCCTATCTTCTCTTCAGGCCGGTCAGGGACGGTCACCTGATGATCCCTAAGGACGTTTTCCAATAACGACAACCTCCCACTCCCCTTCCCAAAAGCCGTCAGGTGCGAAACATGAGCCCAGCTGTCTAAGTGAAGAAAGCCCTATTTCCCTTTCCAGTCTCCACCGCTCGCAAGCCCCGGGGGGAACCTCCAGACCACCCCTCGCCTAAACACACCGCCGCCGAAGGCTTCCCTAGAGGTGGACCCTCCCCGTCTACACAACGGGGACCCGCAGCGCCTCGGGCCATCCTGGACCCCGGACCCACCTGCGCCCTTGGTGCCAAAAACGACCCCACAACCAAGGGCAGCGACGAACTCAGTCACCGGCGCCGGCGGAAGCTGCGGCCTTGGGACCTGCCATTCGCCACGCCGGGTCAAAGAGAGGGGTGGCGCTGGGAAACTGTACCTCTTCTCCCTTGGGATGTTGGGATCTTCTAGTACTTATTTTAGCTTTTAAGCATTATAAATTATTTAAAAGTAAGACTTCTGCGCAAGGTGACGAGACTTGTTGTCGTAAGAACCATCTCCTTTCCACAGCTTCGTCCCCACCCCCCCGGAACATGGTATCGCTCTGGGCATTACCCGCCTCAGAGGCTCGCCTCCAGTTTCAAAATGGCGGCCGCCATCAGGGGCCTTCTGCTGGATGGTCTTCACGGGTGGTGTTGAGCGAGTATCAGCTTGTCTCGCTCTTGAACCTGGATTCGACTAGGGGTTGGGAAGGGCAGTGGACGGCGTTGGGGGAGGACTGACGAGGCAAGTGGGGGCGGAGGGAAGGAGTGAGCCTTTGGATGGGGGAGGGGGCGTCGTCGGCCCTCAGGGAGACCCTGGCTCCACCTTGTCCGGGTCTGCGCTGGGGACATGCTCCCGGGATTTCGGTGGCGACTGTACTGGCCCGGCGTGGCAGAAGTGCTTATCGAGGGAAAGAAGTGATTTCTCCGTGGGTCTAAAGCCCCCGGTCTTTGTGGCAATCCGCACGATTCACTCGTGTGTTCTCCTTCCCTCTTTTTTGCTGTTTCCCGGCTGGATGAGTTAATCCGGCGCCAGCTTTGGCGCCTTTGGCCTTCGTGGTTGCCGTGTTTTTTAGCCTCCTCGCTGGGAGTCTTGCGTGGTCTCGGGCTCAGAGACCACGAGGTAGCTAAGCACTGGGCACAAAGTAGGCGTTCTTTTTTAGTTAGTCGATTCCAGGGACCTTTTAAGAAGTTACTGTGCTTTATTAAAATGGTCTCGGCCTTCTGCTCCTCCCGCTACCCCCAGCTCCCCAGCTCAGCCCCCCAGCCCTCCAGGCTCCCTTTGCCCTCTAGCGCTTCCGTCTCTGTTTTATTTGCTCTTAGGTAAGCAGGAAGTCAGACTAGCCTTAACCCCGTCGAGTCCGGCCTCCTGTCACCAGCCGAACATGAATTATCAATTGCCCATACCCTAATTTTTTATCTTATAACTCCTGTGATATATATATATATATATATTTTTTTTTTTTTAGAAAGCCAATTTTCTTCCCGAACTGACCAGGAAGAGACTTTTTGGACTCCGTAAACTCGGGGGCCAATCCAGATTTCTTCGTTTTCCCTTAGATTTTTGCCTAGTTCCCTTTAGCTGTCTGCAACACGCAAGGTCATCATTTCTCTCGCAAGTAACTGTGAAAGATAATTGAGATGTAGTAGTGTCCGTCAGGAAGGAATTGATGATCGTTGGGGTCCATTCTTTAAGCACACATGTATGTCGCTTTGAGTGCTGTGCTTGAATTGGGCAATACAAAGATGATCGCTTTTGCTCTTCGCGTATACATTCAGCATCCATTCAACAAATATTCTTGGTTCCCCTTTTGCGTGAGGTGAAAAAAAATAACCTCCTGAGACTACGTAAAAAGCTTCGTAAAGGAGAACTATTTCAGCTGGGTCTTGAAGGGTCAGAAGGAATTTACAAGGCTCAGGAGAAGGTCATTCCTGAATCTAGAGACTTGGGCAGGCTTGGCATACTGAGAGAGAGTGGGAGGATAAACGTCCTTGAGCATGCAGTGCAAGGGTGGTTGGTGAAGGAAGAGGGAGATTGAAAGCAGCTTGTGAAGGACCTTGATTTCCAGCTAAGGAGTTCAGATTTCATTTGTTAGAAAGTGCATACTTTGCACAAGGAAAGGGCATGAGTATATTTGTTTTTTTTAGGGTGGTCTCTGACAGCTGTATGGAGGATCAACTGGGAACAGGAAAACTAGGTAAGAGGAAATTGTCACTGAGGTAAGGTAATGATTGCCTCAGTTGAAATAGGATAGTGAGGGGCGCCTGGGTGGCTCAGTGGGTTAAAGCCTCTGCCTTCAGCTCGGGTCATGATCTCAGGGTCCTGGAATCAAGCCCCGCATCGCATTGGGCTCTCTGCTCAGCAGGGAGCCTGCTTCCTCCCCTCTCTGTCTGCCTGCCTCTGTGCCTACTTGTGATCTCTCTCTCTCTCTCTGTCAAATAAATAAAATCTTAAAAAAAAAAAAAAGGATAGTGAAGGGTGTGAGAGAGACCTTTCTGAAATGGCAAATAGGATTCAACAGGTGGCAGCAGTTCGGTGGATGGAGGGGGACTCCAGGGGTTTTGGTCCAGAAGACTAAATGGTTGGTGATTCCATTAAAATCAAGCCCAAGATATGTACATAAAAATAGGGTGGTGCCAACCTGCACCTTATGGAGTGGCCGAGCACAGCGGAGTACGGTACAAAGCATTGATTTTAAAGTCTAGATTTGTGCTATTACAGTAGCCACTAGCTGCATGTAGCTGTGGAGCCCTTGAAATTAGGGTTAGATTGAATTGAGATGTGCTGTAAATATAAAATACACACTGGATTTCAAAGACTTGATATAAAAGGTAAAATATCTCAATAATTAATAGGTTGCATAGGAAAATTATATTTTGAATAAGTTGGGCTCAATAAGGTATATTAAAATTAACTTCACCTGTCAAACTTATCAGTGTGGCTATGAAAAAAAGTTTTAATTACGTTTGTGGCTTGCATTGTATTTTTGTTGGGCAGAGCCAGTGTAGTCTAGGAATTCATACGGAGGTGCAATTTGAGCTGGGCCTTGAGACAGCGGTGAGCAGGGATGTCAGCAGCTTGCTGGTGCCCCCCATTGCTAGTTAAGGCATTCAGGTTTTTGTTTTTTCAAGCAGTGAGAAGCTTTCAGAGGTTTCTGAGCAAGGGTTAATATGTGGAGGGGTGTTTCAGTAGATTAGTCTGACCGTCATGTTTAGGTTGAGATGAAGGGAAGAAAGCCTGGAGGGGGAGAAACAGAAACCCAAATATAAGGTGATGAGGCCCTGCTTTAAGGTACTGGTGATGGGAAGGGAAAGGGGGTGATACACAGGTGAGGCATTTTGAGGGGGAAAGAATCAGGAGTTGGTAACAGACTACTCAAGAAGTAGCCTTGGTTAGATGAGGACTAATGAATTCATGTCAGAATTATAAAGTACATTTGAGGCTAAAGGAATTTAGTCTCAAAATAGAATCAGCAAAGTTGGAAGGAGGAAGTGATCTGCTAAATAGTCTTCGTTTTTATCTCCTTGCTTTCTGTATCTTATCTAATCAATCATACCCACCAGGTAATTTTCCTGAAATACGGAGTTTCCTGTATTGTGTCATTTTACTTCATAGTAGATCTTAAAATGTTTCTCTCTTGCCTGAAGAGCTAGGTCTAGAGTCCAAGACCTTCCATTATCTGGCCCTTTTCTATTCATTAGGGCTTTTCTTTCATTTTTGCTTATATGAAAGTGTGCCCGGCTGGTTTTTCCACTAAAACTCTGTCAGTTCTTATGTGCCTTTGATCATGTTATTCCCCCGTTTTCAATACCTTTTCTTTTTGTCTCTCCTCAGGTACTCCTAATCCTTAGCAAGTAATTTAAGATCCCACCTCTTTTATGATTCTTAATAATATGAGCTAATGTCGGTTTTTAAAATCTTATTTCCTAAATTGCATTATTTTAGCTTGTGATTATGACCAATTTGGTACATTATTATTTTTGTCTTTTATTATCCTTTTATTATCTCTGTTTTATGTAAGCTTTAGCTTCCTAAAATTATAACAAGTTTCTTTTTTTAAAAAAAGGACCGTTTATTACACTGCTTGCTGCCGCTCATGGTGTTCATCTTAGGGCAAGACATAGAAGTTAAACACCATAAGTAAAAACAGAATTAAATCTGTTACACCACATTCATCAGACTCTCTTTATTTTTTAGATTTATAAAGAACTCTTCCCTTGAATTCATGGTGTCTCACCCTATGTACAACTGAGATATCAGTAAGTAATGATGAACAATTGTATTAAAAATATCTTTTCCCCTGTTGAAATCTGGGTCTGTGTGCAGAGCTTTAACATGAACTGATTTACTTCTGTCCGCAAGATCTTTTGTATTTTCACTTCATAATCTAAAGAAAGTGGAAGTTAAAGTGGATTTGAGTAAAAAAGGGTTTCTCTTAGACCATTAATATAATTGTTGCACAGGAAGCTTTTTGGCAGGGAGAATTTTCTTTAGATCCTTTCCAAAGGATTCTTTCCATTAATATCTTTGTATTTACGGAGATATTAATCTTCGTATTTCTCCTACCTTATGAATAGGAACATGCTAAGCCAATATATTTTTAATTTTAACTTATTTATTTCATCAGTTCTTTACTGAACAACTGCTGTGTGTTTAAAACATGTGCTAATATAGTAGGATACAAACATGGGTCAAACCTGGCTTGCATCCAAGAGACCTCTCCCAAGCAAGGAGAAGTGCATATAAATGGGTAGCTGTTAATGGTGCAGTAAGGGCACTAAGCTCACTTGACACTAGCCGTGCTTCATTCATTTAATAAGCTTTTATTGACCCCCCCACTATGTGTTAGACACTATAGAGGCATTGGAGGGTAACTGTACCCAAAATAGATAAGGTCTATTTTTACATGGAGTCCATAATCTACTGCTGGGGTGAGCAGGAGAGATGGGAGTGGGCAAAGCAAGTAAATAAAGAGCAGGTAGTAGTGAGCAGTAAGTCTTTTGAGGGAAGCGGAGTGATGTTACAGGATGTAACAGGTAGGCAAGGACGTTAGGGTTGTTAGAAAACCATCTCAGAATAAATTTGAGGCAGGGAAAATATACAAACTAGCTAGAGATCTTCGTGACAGTGGAGATAGAAGGAAACTTGAGAAATCGCATGGAGGTAAAAATGCAGCACTTACAGAGAGACTGGACGTGGAATACAAAGGAAAGGCAGGACTCAAGGATGATGCCGTTAGAGGTCAGACGATAATTTATAGCTGTGGAACTGGTGAGATTACCTGGAAAGAAAAAAAGAAAGTCCTACTGAAGAGCCCTGCTGTGTTTAGAGGTTGAAGAAAGAAAGTAACTAGCAAAGGAGATGGGCAAGTGACCTAAGTTAGATACAAGGAAAACCAGGAGAGGGTTGACACGGAGGCAGAGTGAGGAGAACATTTCAAGGAGGCCGAACACTTACTTTTGCTGAATGCTGCTCTGGTTTCCGCCAGTTGTGGCCAGAGAAATAAATGCCCAGTGGCTTAAATTACATAGAGGTTGGTCAGTGACCTTGATGAAAGCACTTCTGTTGGGTTGGTGGAGAAAGATGCCAGCTTTGGGAGGTGAGAGAGTGGAGACACATTTGTGGACAAATATTCTGAGAACCTCTGCTGTGAAAGGGGAGCATAGAAATGATGAAGTACTTGCAGGGGATTGTAGGATTAAGAGAGGGTTCTTTTAAATTGGGAAATTCTAGACGATCTGCGTCTGCTAATAGGAGTGGCACATCAGTTATACATGGATAATGCAGGGAAAAGAAGGGGTGACTGAAGAGGTTCAGTCCTCTAGAAGACAAAAAATTAGAATGGGATCCAGAGTACTCATGGGGATTGGCGTTGGATGAGAGCAGGGCTATCGATTCCATGTAATTGGAGACAAAACAATGTTCATGCAGATGCATTAATAGAGTTGGTATTGGAAAATGGGTTATTGTCTAACGGCTTAGTTTTCTAGTTGAAGAATGAGGCGAGGTTATCAGCTGAGAGTCGGGTGGAGGGAGTGGAACATGACGCTTGAGCAGAGGAGGCAGTGTAAAATCAGTCTCAGAGATAGTCAACCTACTACAAAAACTCAGATTGATAGGTAGTGCTTAGTGCCTGTTTGATACACGTATATATATAGTTTTTCCATTTGAGATTTTTGACCATGAATTTAAAGAGCAAATAGCACAGTCTTGGGATTCTTTTTTCCTCTGGCAACATTCAGTTTCTGGAATAGGCAAAGTGAAGGATTGGAATCAGTCGGAGTTGGGAGTTCTACCAGGCTGCTACAAGGAAGGACCAGAGCAGCCAGATGCCTGATAGTGTTTTCAAGATACTCGTGATGGATTGTGGATCAGCAGGAAGGACGTGAATGGAGACAGGAGAGGGTGAAAGAGTGGGGGATGGGTTAGAGATTCAGTGAGGCTGAAGGATTTTCGAAGTGGGGTTACTGAGTAAGCAGGGCAGGAATGACGACAGCATGAGACACTGGAAGGTGAATGTTTGGAAATGGTGCAGCTCAGGTGTGATGAGGTCCAGGGGTTGAAGTGAGATGAGGTTATTGGAATTGAGAAAGTCGGGGGATTAGAGTCAGTAGTTGAGTTACTGAGGAAGATGGAGTCAGGAACTAAAGTCTCCAGTGAATGAGGTCCAATTAAGCCACGTCAGCAGTGAGGAGGAAAGTGGGAAGGCTCCTGGTGAACTAGCTGGGAGGGCCCGGAGTATATGGTGGAGGAAGGAGAAGATCTGGTTTGGGAGCTGCGGGGAGGAGCAAGGAGCATGAATGTCCTGCTTTGGAGGCACAGGGGGTGTACAAGGAAAAAACCCTGGGGAACACTGCAGGAGAAACCGTTTCGGTGAAGAGAACCTTCGGTGCAGTTACAGGTGAGGATAAGTGGCATCGTTCCAGAGGGCCTACTGGAAGGACTTGGGAAGGATAGAAAGTAGAGGAGTGGATCCGACTGGCAGACGTGCACATCAGTGATAATGGACAATCCAGGAGTCTTGGGTCTTCGTCTGTGACTGGGAAGAAAAGAATGGTAGATGTGGTGGGATTGGTCTTCTGACACCCTGTCATGAAAGGTGACAGTTTACCTGAGTTTATTGATAGGACCTTTGGTAGCTGGTAAGAGGTCATCAGGTGTGCTTGATCTTTCCTTCTTGAATAGGCTAATTTACTTCAAGGAGTGCAGATCTGAAATACTGCTGTGGAGTTGTACTTTGCTAATGAATGTTTTTGTAACATCTGCTTAATAGCACACAATTCTAGGTCTTAAATCCCAGTAATTGTGTTCATGTTACATCTCCTTGAACTATATGTAATAGGCATCCCAACATAAATTCCATCAAATATATGTTGAATACCATCTGTGTGTCAAGTTCTCTTTTAGGAATTGCAAACATAAGATTCTACCTGTTTTTTTAGTTGCTTACTTTCCAATGCAAGCATTTTTAACATGCAACGCCTAAAAAGTATGTGGGTTTCTATGGGTATGTGCACCTTGTTTGTTTTTGGAAGACTGAGGGGAGAAGGAATAGTCCATAGCTTTTTTTTTTTTTTTTAAAGATTTTATTTATTTATTTGACAGAGATCACAGGTAGGCAGAGAGGCAGGCAGAGAGAGAGAGAGAGAGAGAGGAGGAAGCAGGCTCCCTGCTGAGCAGAGAGCCCGATGCAGGGCTCGATCCCAGGACCCTGGGATCATGACCTGAGCCGAAGGCAGAGGCTTTAACCCACTGAGCCACCCAGGCGCCCCGTAGTCCATAGCTTTTTATCAGATTCTCAAGGGGGTCTATTTATTTAAGGACCAGTGGTCTAATAGGAGAGACATGAAAGCTAATCATTGTAATGCAATGAAATCATTGCCATCACAGAGAAAAATAAAGGAAGCACAAATTCACCTTGAAGAATGAGTTCATTAATTCATTATGTAGTTATTTATTGAGGAACTTGGTAGTCTCCATTCTAGGTAATTTACACATTATTTGAAATCTTCCAGCATCCTTTTTATGTGTATTATTATTAATGATTGATTTATTTTTAAAGATTTTATTTATTTGAGAGAGAGACAGAGGTAGAGAGAAAGAGAAAGCATGAGCAGGGAAAAGGGAGAAGCAGGCTCCCCACTGAGTAGGAAGCCCCACACAGGGCTAGATCCTGGACCCTGGGATCAAGACCTGAGCTGAAGGCAGA